GTTCTCTGCTCCCCTCTAGTCCAGGCCTGAGCACTTGTCAACCAAGCTAAGCTGAGGACCCCAAGTGAAGCCCCCTGCTCCCAATCTCCCACAGCCATGCCACTCCATTTCTACCTGGGGATATGGGGAAGTTCACAGTGGTATCTCGTTGGGCACTTGTTTCTTCCCTACCCTGGAGCTGCCCAGAGCTCCATATTACCTTCCCAGTAAGATTCTTGCTCTTGAGCTCTGCAAATGTTAACCCTTACCCACCAAAACAACTCTCACTTTTCAATCAAACTTCCTGCGGCAAAAACACCAGGAAGATTTTGTTGTTGTTGTTGTTGTTGTTGTTTGTTAGATGTTATTATTTTTGTCATTCTGAATCGGCCCCACAATGGTGCATGCTGGTAGTCCCAGCACTAGGAGGCTGAAGCAAAAGGATAACTTGAGCCTAGGTGTCCCAAGCCACAATGCCGTAAGACCCTGGCTAATAATATAAATTGCTATTGTTACTATATCAATGTGTTTCTACCTATAAAAGCAATAGAGGGTTGGATATATAGCTCAGTAGTAAAACACTTGCTTAGCATGTGTAAGGCCCTTAGATCAACCTTTAGCACTATATGTAAAAAAAAAAAAACAATAATAATGGATTGTTTTGTAGAACATGTAAAACAGTGTGAGCAGAAAATTAAAATCAATAAAAAGCTCATTATTCATGGATAAACTGTGAGCTTGCTGTTACATCTCTAGCTCTTTCCCTGTTTGTATGCATATGTGCTTTTTGTCTTTATAGATTTAGGATAGGATCCCACCATACAGAAAGCATCACGCCTACTGTTTTTGACACAATACAGTGATTTTGTATGTAATTAAGAGACTCCTCAGGAATAGCACTTTAATGGCTGCACAATATTCCACCCCATAAATATACCTTAATATGTTTAACTAAACCCTATTGGTGAACATTTGGAGTGTTTACAATTTTTCACAATGAAAATGCTGCTATAAACATCCATGTTCATAAATCTTTGCTCCGACCTCTGGTTATTTTCCCAGCAGAGATTCCTAGAAGTGGTACCGCAGGGTCCCGGGTAGATGCATTTCTAAGGATCTTGCTGTGTATATGAAACTACTTTTCTGGGAGAATATGCTGGTCCCTACACATTGGTGACAGTGCCACCAGGGCCATTTTCTCAGCCCCTAATGTTTCTTCCTATACACATTAACTTCAACAGCTCCCCCTGTGGGAACCCTGTATCTTCCTTCTACCCTTCAGAGATCAGGACAAATGCCACCTCCTTGTAGTCCTCCCTGATTGGTTCCCTACCTCCATCCCTCATTCTGCCCCATATTAATCACTCCCCAAACTAGCCAACTGTCATCTCTCTCAACAGCGAGTGTTGTAATTACCTTTGCTTTGGGGAAAACAATGAACCTTTAAAGTGCTCCACCAAAGGGATTCATCTCATTTACTTGCAAGTGGAAAGTGTCTTAAGATCAAGGACCTTGGTTTGATCATCTGGTCTACCTCTCCTGGCCATATTCGCCAACTTGAGTGTAGCCCAGTTGCAAGCTAGCCTTGAGCTAGCTGAAGGGTACTTTTCCCCTTGACTTTACTGTTCCTTGGCCTGGTGGACCAAGCAAGGCTGCTGCACCCCTCTGCAGCATTGGGGAAGGCAGACAGGGTAGGCCAGGATATTTGAGTCCTCACTCTACCAGTGACTTGTTGTGGATCTGGTCCTCTGCTTCCCTCTAGGCCTTAGTTTATTCCTCTATAAAATGGGCAAGTTGAACCAACAAAAGTCCCACACTGCAGCATGAACCCCTCCTGAGTACCCTGCTTGAAGCCTCTGCTCTAGACCTATGAGGCCCCTGGACAAAGCCAGCCTGGGGGTGGGGGGGATGGTCCAAATGAGCTGGGCCCTGAGGCAGGCCTGGCTGTAGGCCAGACTGTGTCTGCAAACACTGACCTTGGCTGCTGCAGGGATTTTCCATGACACCAGCACCCTCCCTTTCAACTCCCCCATTCCACATGGGCCTGGGAGGTTGGGGGAGGGGCACTGGAGCTCTCCTGCATAAGAGGTCCTTAGTCAGTAACAGGGACAGACACCTGTGGGTGGGAGATAGCTTAAGAGTGAAGAGAAAGCCAGGAAGTCAAGAAGAGGCAGCGAGAGAGCCACTGCTTTAGAGTGAGGGGCAGAAGCTGGAAATGGAGATGCCCGATGGAACAAAGGGGCCCTGGGAAGGGGCAGGGCGGAGAGATGGGTGCCTTGTTGCAGGAGTTCTGGCCTGGAGGGTGACAAACCCCAGACCCAGTGCTGCATGCTCATCCCCACCCCCACCCAATTCCTTGGAGCCCTGGTGGCTTCTCAGACCTAGCTTTTGGCTGAGGCAGGCCTACAGCAGTGGGATTCCTTTGGGGTCAAGAGTTGGCTTCATTTTGAGGGGAAGGGGTTATAGCAAGGGCCAGGGCTATGAGTCAGCAAAAGATCCTAAGATAGCTGACCCTCCCTGCAATTAGGAATTTGGGGGCAGGTATTTGGGGTCACCATCACAGAGTCCACAGATTCCAGAGCCTTTACCTTCTAGAATTTTGGCCTTCTGAGTAGAACAGCAATTCGATGTCCCTACCACGCCCTGTGTACCACACTAAAGGGACTCAACACTGCAGGCTCCACCATGGAAAGTGCACAAAAAAGGAGGCATGAGCAGAGGGAGGGCTGCCCTGATACTTTGAGGAAGTTCTAGAAGTTTCTTAAACAAGATGGTGTCTGAGTGGCTCTCCCAAAGAGGGGAAGAACACCTACACTCTCTGCCATGTCCACTAGGCCAGCTGCCCCTCCCATTGCCCTCAGAGCAGGGCCTGGGTACCAATGCCAAACACTTTCCATCTCGTCTCCTTTAATGCATCCATTCTGGTCCTGTGTGTCGTCTCCACATTCCTGTTGTCCCCAGACCTCCAGAGTCCACAAAATCACCTTTTCCAGGTGCCCATGGCTCAAACCTGATTTCCCCTTTCCACCCACAGGCAAGTGGGCCTTTGATACCCCTTCTCCAACTGGCTGGGGTAGGTTCTTCCCAGGGCCTCACACTACCCTCCTTCTGCTCGACAAGTCCAGGTAGCACCCCCTACATTCAGGCCATCCTCAACCCAGTGTTCAAAGCCTCTGAGTGTCTCAGACTCCTCAGGTCACCTTATTCATCTTCCCCCTGGGACAGATGTTAGCCCTGGCCAGGACTGTATTTACTCTAGATAAGCAAGTCTGCTGAGAGACAGGGTACAGCCAGGAGCTGCCAAGGTTCTAACACCCCCCCCCCCCCCCCCCCCCCCCCGAGGTGGGGATCATAGACTTAGAATCAGGAAATGGCTGCAAAGAAGGACCCCAAAAGTTCTTGATGCGACAGAGGTGTGCTTCCCAAACTACCCTCAGAAGAACCCTTGTTTAGCAATAAGCACTGTGAGAAAATGTTTCACAGCCAAATATGTGAGAAACTTATAACACATTCTCCCAGCTCTGCATAGGAACACAGACAATTAAGTCACATGATAAAAAATCCTGTTTAGCTAAATCCCTATTTTCCCCAATTTAATTGAGCCAAACAACCCTTTTCTTATCCAACCCTTAACGTATCATGACACTGGTAGTTGAGGAAATTAACCTTTAAGAAATGCTGATCATACCACGTTGGTGCTGAGGGGAACTTTAATGATCATGCAATCTTGGAGGGCAGGAAATATATTCACGTTCGCATCTCAAATCTACTAGTTCACAAATCTTCACAACTACACGAGGGCGATACTTCATTGTTCCCATTTCATAGATGAGAAAGTTGAGGCCACTCAGCCAGTGATGGAGCCTGGCCAAGGTTAAGAGCCTGTGCTCTCTGTGCTTCACTGCAGGCTTCCTCCCTATCCTGCAGCATTTCCAACATACAAGGATAACTTCTCATTTAGCCTCACAGAATCAATTATCCCATGCTAATCTGAGGTTCTGATTGACAGGTGTGTTCTTAATTGATTTTGATGGGGGAAATAAACTAATTAGAGTTTTAACAATCATCTACTTGGTGCCTGTTCGGTGGAGTAAAACACCACATTTGATCAACACTTCACAAATGGAATCTTTGATCCTATGAGTGGGTGGGTGAACAGAGAAAACACTAAAAGAACATAAAAAAAAAAAAAAAAAGTGGGATAGGAACCAGGAAAGGACAAAGCTAGTCATAGCCAAGCTTAGGGCAGACCCTAGCCTCCTGCCTCGAAGCTCCACTGAGGCTATGGCCAAGGGCCCACCATGGAGCCAGCTAGGCCAAGGGTATGAGGCAGGCAGCAGGCTCACACATTCCCAAGGCCAGTGGGGAGCAGGTGGCCAAGACCAGGCTATTACCAAGGGCTTAGAGTTCTGCTTTGAGTAGAGGGAGCTGGGCCACTGGGAAAAGAGACCAGAGAGGGGGCAGGGGCAGAAACAACCCCTCCAGGCCCCACAGTTCTCTGGAAGCCAGAGCTGCAACCAGTGTCTGAGTCCCTGACACCAGAAAGAAGAGAGAATGGAGGATTGATTCTTCTGATGCCCTAAAATATTTATACTAAAAATTAACATTTCAGCCTTCAGTCCAATTCTTTTTTACAAGAATTTTTTTATTATTTCTAGTGTGTGTGTGTGTGTGTGTGTGTGTGTGTGTGTGTGTGTATTCTATGGTGTATTATAGAACTTGTATGTGTAGAACTCAGAGGAACCTGTGGGAGTTGGTTCTCTCCTTCTAGGAATCAAACTGAGGTCATCGGGGTTGCAGCAAATGCCTTCGATCACTGAGCCATCTTGCTGATCCTGGTGGCCTCTGTGCCTCTAGTCAGTCCCAGACCCACCTCTTAGTGAAGTTGCTTCCCTCTTGAGTCACCAGCCCTGGCTGAATGAGTGAGTAGAGCTTCGACCACACCTGAACATGTTCAGCAGTGGCCAGAGCATGGTTTTAGAATCAAGTGTCCTTGGCTATCATCTGGTCATGTCACTTACCAGCTGGAGGTCTTGAACAGGCTGGTTTCCCTTTTTGCTCCTCTATGGCTTATCCATGCAACCCAAGAACCTCATCAAATGATTACTAAGAACCTTTATTAACATCAGGATGGGAGGCAGGGAGAAGAGGAGATGGGGAGAGGAGGAGATGAGATGGGGAGTGGAGGAGCTGGGGAGAGGAGGAGCTGGGGAGAGGAGATGGGGAGAGGAGGAGACGGGGTCAGACTTAGTGAATGTTCAGAGAGGTGACCACTAGAGCCTATGCTCAAGATATGACTTCTGGCTATTTGGCCCAACAGGTACTGACAGAGGGTACCAAAAGAATCAGTCCCAGAGAGTAGCCCCTGTGTGTGTTGGTACCCAGAAGGAATAACAGAGACCCTCCCAACCAGAGACTCGAGGCAGCAGCAATGGGTAATTCTTTTTACCTTCTCCCTTGCAAAGCCAAACTAGGCACGATGCCGCCCTGCTGCAGGGGGACAGGGTTGGCCAAACTCCCGGTGACTTCCCAGAAGTCCAGGGTCCCCTGGGACTGGCTCCACCCTAGCTGGCAGTCCTCCAAGCTAGGCACCCACGTCAGCAGGTCCTCATGGCTTCTTTGCCCTTTCACCTAGTAACAATAAGACAAAGGGATGGACATGCTCACCCTCAGCCCCAAGATGAATCGTGTCTGTCTCTAGGGCATCTCCCACCCTCCCATTGCCACTTGTACCTCTTCTGGCTGAGGCTTCACATGGAACATGCTTCCCTTTGGGTCTCAGTTTCCCTTCCTGACCTGGCAACGGCATGAATGCAGAATCAGGAATGACTATCAGACACAGCCATCTCAAAAAGCCCCTCCAATCTTCTCAATCCCAGCAATAAAACAGAAGTCAGTCACAGAAGTGACCTTGGGGAATGTCTATGAGGGCAAAGTTAAATTATCCTAAGGGCAACAGTTTTTGATTCGTAACCCTAACTTGTGGTAGGGAGAGAGGGCCAGCCTGGCCATCCGCCACCAAGGTCAGGCACTGGCTCTGCCCCTGGTAGGAACCTCTGGGTCAGGCCTGGATGAGTCACTCAATTTAAGAGTCACCAAGCTGGGGGGTGTGCTTATGGCTAAAGCTGGACTCTGAGCACTGCCTCTCTTGGGGATAGGGAGCTGGGCAGGAGAAGGAAGAAGGGGGGAAGCACTGTGTGAGGGAGGTAGATGTACCTCTGGGTGCCAAGTGAGAATCCAGGGCAGGGCCTGGGTGCCATAGCCAGCAGAGTGGAGTAGGAGGCTGTGGGCACTGAGTTCTCCTGAAAAGCTGTAGTCTTTAACAGAACCCCAGGCAAGTTGATAAAGAGTGGGGGTGGGGGTGGGGTATAGAAGAGTTCCTTTCTCCAGTGGTGGGTATGGATGGCTCCCCAACAGGGTCCTGCTTCTTGGCCTGTGTTCTCAGATGCTTTTCCAAGAGCCCCTCCCAGTTGTTCACTCCACAGGTTCCACAAGACTCCCCCAAGAATTTGCCTCCTTTACTCCCTGAGGCAGGTCTGATAGGTACTCAGGGCATGGAATAGCAGACAAGGCAAATGAGACCAGAGACAGAGAGAGAGATTAGCCCAGGGTCACACAGCTGGGGCCATACCCATGTTCTGCACTGCCTGTGGGGTTCTGCCCCCAGTGTCATGTCTGGGGTGGAGTCAGGGGGCCCATACAGTGTGTGATGCTGGGGAACAGGGAAGAACAGGACAAGAAGCTGCTCTAGCTGTGGTTTGGCTGTGTGGGTGTTAAGGTGAGTTGTGGCCTGGCTGTGGGGGCCCAACTGGCAAGTACAATCTGGTCTCACACTGCTGGATGCACATGGGCCAGGCACCATGGCTCAACTGCACAGCCCCTGGCAGAAGAAGGATACAGCCACTGGCTACATGCCACACGGGGGCAGGGGAGCCATACTAAGGACAATCCTGGAGCCTTCACACCCCAAACATCTGCTCCTAGACCTCTCTGAGCTGTTGGATTCTAATGGACCTAGGTTGGCAAGGGTGGCTCTACTGGAATGCGGCTGCTCCCAAACCTGAAGGTCTCTTGGAAACGTGAGAGTGTTCTGCCATCTCCTTCTCTATTAATCAGTGAGCTATTGTTGGGCATTTGAGATGTACCAGGCTCTAGGCTAAGTGTATCACATACATTATCTCACTTATTCCCCCAAAGCCCTTGCTGCGAGTGACATATTAGCCCCATTTTACAGATGTGAAAAACTTGCAAAGCTCATAATATCCCAGTCTGAAAAGTAGTCACAAAGTGTATTTGGGACTCCCTTGGAAGGGAATTAGCGAGGACCTTTATAGGTTTACCAGGGCTCCCTGTGAGTTGATGTTTAATTTTATATAGTTGGGGGCCCTAGAGATTGTAGATGAGCCTTCTCAGAACCACCCAAATGAAGCACCAATAACTTTCAGCTAGGGGGAATCCAAGAAGACTGCCTGGAAGAAGCAGTGTTTTGTTGAGATTTCTTACGACTCAGGAAAGAGGAAAACTTGAAACCTGCCCACAATCTTCCATTCTCATAATTATCTTAATAAAAGCTGAAGTGTTTATGCTCACTGGTCTGGTGGGAGAAGCAAGTGGCCAGAACAGAAGATTTTGTTTTTAAATAAAGAGAAATGAATGATCAAAGAGAGAAAGTCAGTTCTTCAAGGTTACAAAACCACAAGTAATAAGGCCAGAACTTGTGCCCATGGCTGATGGTTCCCATCCAAGGTCCTCCCCATACCTCCTAGAGGTAGCCAGGAAGATTTTGTTGTTTTGGAGTTGGGGGGGGGTGTTCAAGACGGGGTTTCTCTGTGTAACTTTGGAGTCTGTCCTGGAACTCACTCTGTAGACCAGGCTGGCCTGGAATTCACAGAGATTTGCCTGCCTCTGCCTCCTGAGTGCTGGGATTAACGGCATGTGCCGCCACCACCTGGCAAGTTATTGTTTTGAGAAGGGTTTACTCTGCAACCTGAAATGCCTCTCAAACTCTCATTCTCCTGCCTCAGCCTCACATAGGCTAAGGATACAGTCATGCACTGCTACACCCAGCTCAGGGCAGAATTTTTGATAGTTATTTGACGATCAGCTCAGAGGGGTAGATTTGACTCTGCCTGGCTCACAGATGAGAAGAGTACATGCACAGACATGGAGAATAGATACGAAGGAGGTGAGGACTATAGAGATGGTCCACACCCAAGGACACTCAGGACTCCTGCCTTGCCAAGGGCAATGCCATACCCTCACATGGACAGAGCCTACTTTTGGACCAAGTCCCATGGGAAGACCCTAGTCCCAGGCAGGATGGAAAACCTGGAGTACTTACTAATTCAACTGAGGTGAGGAAGACACCGCTAGACCAACTGCCCAGGAAAATTGCAAGTTCCCAGTGGTAGCCACCTACCCCACCCCACTCCATAAGCTTTGGCTGCAGCAGAGAAACCATCAAGAAGCCATGCATGCCTGTCTCCCTCCCTCCACACTGAATCACCACATCAGAAGTCACTCCACCCAATCACCTCCCCTCATAGCCATGGGCACTGGGGCCCATACAGAATAGACAGCATGACAGAACCCACAGGTATTACCCAGGAAGCCAGACTGCCATTCCCACACATCGGCTGCCCATGGATAAACTTCTCAGCAAGCACCAGCAGCCAGCTCCTCCCCAAAGGCATGAGACACATTTGTATTTTCAAGAAAGCAGATTCAAGTTCAAACTCGGATATCTAAACTTCCCAACAATGTGACTTGGAAAGTTGCCGAGCCCTCTCTGCCTTCTGGGATTACCATCTGAGTGTTTCCGGTGATAGGAACAAAAGGATTTGTGTCCCAAAGCGATGTGATGTGCTTGTGTGTTGAAAGGCGGACTCAGTAGCCAGCTGCAGTGGCAGACACGGTGGTGCATACCTGTAACCCTAGCACTTGGAAGGCAGAGGCAGGAAGATCAATATGAGTTCAAAGCCAGCCTGGTCTACATATTCAGAGATCCAAGCTGGCCATGACTCCATATTTAGCAAAGAAAGAAGTAAGGTGGAGGAGGCAGATCGAAAACCTCTACAAGAGCCTCCAAAGCCACAGAGAAACCCTGTCGAGAGAGAGAGAGAGAGAGAGAGAGAGAGAGAGAGAGAGAGAGAAGAAAAACAGAAAAAGAAATAAAAGAACCTGCACAGTGGGGAGGAAAGGGGGCAGGCAGAGGAGGAGGACTCCCACCAGGTCAGTCCCACAGCGTGTGTTTTCTTCTTTTTTCTCACAGGCTATGGCCATGCGGCACCCAGCACGGACGGTGGCAAGGTGTTCTGCATGTTCTACGCACTGCTGGGCATCCCGCTCACGCTCGTCATGTTCCAGAGCCTAGGTGAGCGCATCAATACCTTGGTGAGGTACCTGCTGCATCGTGCCAAGAGGGGGCTGGGCATGCGGCATGCCGAGGTGTCCATGGCCAACATGGTGCTCATCGGCTTCGTGTCTTGCATCAGCACGCTGTGCATTGGCGCCGCTGCCTTCTCCTACTATGAGCGCTGGACCTTCTTCCAGGCCTACTACTACTGCTTCATTACACTCACCACCATCGGCTTCGGAGACTACGTGGCGCTGCAGAAGGACCAAGCGTTGCAGACGCAGCCGCAGTACGTGGCCTTCAGCTTCGTGTACATCCTCACGGGCCTCACGGTCATTGGCGCCTTCCTCAACCTCGTGGTGCTGCGATTCATGACCATGAACGCCGAGGACGAGAAGCGCGATGCAGAGCATCGTGCGCTGCTCACGCACAACGGTCGGGCGGGTGGCCTGGGTGGCCTGAGCTGCCTGAGCGGTAGCCTGAGCGACAGCATGCGGCCCCACGACCCAGCCACGTGCCCGGCGGCCGCGGGTGGCATGGGCGTGGGTGGCAGCGGCTTCCCCAAAGATGTCTACGCCGAGGTGCTGCACTTCCAGTCCATGTGCTCGTGCCTCTGGTACAAGAGCCGCGAGAAGCTGCAGTACTCCATCCCTATGATCATCCCGAGGGACCTCTCCACGTCCGACACGTGCGTGGAGCACAGCTTCTCGTCACCGGGAGGCGGTGGCCGCTACAGCGACACGCCCTCGCACCCCTGCCTGTGCAGCGGGACGCAGCGCTCGGGTATCAGCTCGGTATCCACGGGCCTGCACAGCCTGGCTACCTTCCGCGGCCTCATGAAACGCAGGAGCTCCGTGTGAAACAGCCAGGCCTGCAGCACCTGTGAGCCAGCAGGGTGGGGGTCCTGCCTGCAGAAGCCGCAGGAGTTGACCAGGAGGCCCCCCCAAAGACGCCTTCGGGCCCCGTGGGAAGTCCCAGCCCACTACCACCACAACCTCTATTCTTCCCCAGGCCCTTATCTCCAACTGTGCAGGCTTGCACCAGCCAGCAGGAGGCCGGGCTCTGAGGACCCCTGGAGCCCCTATCAGAGCCTGATGAATTCCGAGAAATGTGAAACTTGGGAGGTGGGGAGGTGGGGAAAGCAGCCACTGGGAGCCTTTCGGAAATTTGAGAAGCTCCCCAGTCCTCAGGAGGCCCTGCTGGGACCCAGACCCTGACCTCCCAGGGGACTTCTGTTCTCGGTTTTTTGTTTGTTTTCTGGGTTTGTTTTGTTCTTTGTTTTGTTCTTTTTTTTTTTTTTCCATCTCTACTTATACCTCCCCTGGGCTCTCCAGAGTCCACAGTGTCTTTGTCCAGGTCACCACCCCACTCAGTCCCACCTCGCTCTCTCATCCCCAGCCATGTCTCCCAGCCTTCAACTACCTTCTGTGTCAGGTTTATTTGCATGGCTATGCAGTTATGGAAGAAAAAAAAAAAAGGAAATCCCAGCAGTCCGTAAAGCTAGTCCCCAGAGGGCAGGACAGGGGGAGAAAATGGCCACAGGAGTGAGAGCAGAGAGCAGAAACTGTGGCTTCCAGCTCTGCAAGGTGGCAGCATCCTTAGGTGAGCTACCTGGAGTCTGCTGACATGCTCGAGGCCTTCAGGACTGCCCCTGGAATCTGAAACACGGGCTCCCGCTTGCTGTCTATCCCTGGCTGTTGCTGCTGTTCACCTCCTCTTCCCATTTGTAGTGATTTTTAGCACCGGAAACCCTGTCCTACCTACTCATTCATTTGAGTGTACTAACACTCTGGTGAGGTCACCTGGGCAGTTCTTATGGCCATTTTTTTTTTTTCAGAAGAGGAAAACAGGTAAAATTACTTGCCCAGGGTGATACAAGTCTTGAAGGGGAACAAGGACCTGCAGGCTTGTTCCCAGCCCAAGTGCTCTTCTTTCTGGTCCAGCCTGCTCTCAGAAGCAAAGCCCCTGCAGGCAGCACCCTGGCCTTGTATAGGCAGTTGGGCTTAAACCTGAATCAAAAGCTTCAGTCAGAGCCTCCCTGCCATGGCTCTGCCTCTGCTAACTCTTAGCCTAGAGACTGTGGCTCTAAATGGGCCCTGTCTCTGTTCACAAGCAGGGAAGTCCTTGGGACCAAGGTAAGCAGGACTGAGTCTCATGGACTAAAAGCCAGGAGTTGAAACTCTTGAGAGTTCAGGGATTGGGCAGAGCAGCCCAGACAGCTGGCAGGTATATCCTGGGACATTATCCCCAGACTAGAAACCAGGGTGGATACTTGCATCCTAAGTTCTTAGAGCAGGGCTTCCACTATAGCCAGGAACACTCCTCTGGGAGAGAGAAGATATTATAGGACCTAGTGTGCCCTCTAGTCCTCCACCTACAACCCAGGTGGAGGGTGGCAAACTGTTGGCTTGCTCCTGGGGACAAGCTAGAGATGAGATAGTGCCCAAGACAACAGAAGGGTATGTGTCGGGCTGTGAGTATGGCTCAGAGGTAAAGCACTTTTCCAGTGTGCTTGAGGCCCTGAGTTTCATCCCCAGGAAAAGGGGGAAGGGAACACCCCCCCACACCCAGCTGCCTTCCACTCACTGACTCCATACTGCTGAGTAAGGCCAGCCTGACCATTTGGGAATCTAGAGAGAGAGCCACACTATGTCCTCCAGGCCCTGGACATCCCTAGGTGGAAGGAATCTGACCTATGTGTATCCCGTGTCCATTTGGAAGAGCTGGCTCATGTGCCAAGGAGAGTGGGACCCAGGAGCTGGAGAGGTGCTGTCTGTGTTTATGTTGGGCCAGAGGTGGTGCTCGCTGCCTCTGTCCTGTGTGTGACCCTGCCCTCGAGGGGTCAAGTCCCGTCAGTCAGATCCGAGGGAGCCACAACCAAAGTTACAGAGAGGGTGGGGAAGGCAGCAGAGTGGCCCTAGGGGTCTGAGCATGGGGGACCACTTGTCTCCTGTAGGGTCTTGCCTAGGGAACTAGAAGGCCACTGTCTCTTCCTGTCTCACCCCCTCCCACTGCAGGCAGCCTTTCTGCTTCCCCAATGCCTTATGCCTGGGCACACTGCCACAGAATATGCAATATGTGTGGGTGACATGCCCCACACCCACCCGGGCAGCCCCGAAGTCCCCAGGCTGCGGCTGCCCTGGCCCCCCTCAGCAGCTCCTGCCCATCTGTCTTCACACTGAGAATGGCGCCTAATAAATGCTGTCCATGGAGACCAGGCTCTGGTTCCCTCTCCTCTGTCATTGGTCCCCTTAATTGCTGCCTAGTCATTCACTCACCCTGGCCCACCAGTGTCCTCAAACACGTATGCCGGATTCTCCTCGGGCTGATCAGACTGCTTTAGGAGACTTGTGTAGAAACCCAGGAGCCAACCCTGACTTCCCTTGGTAGCTTATCAAATGATCCAGATCTCTTCAACGTCACCCTGGAACAGACTGTGAGAACAGGTCCTTAGAAATGACTGGGTCCTGTCTTCCCCTATGTACATAGGTAAACTGAGGCCAAGGAGGGCAAGTCACTTGCCCTGGGTCACACAGCCATGAATGGCAACCTAGGATAAGAAGCAAAGCTGGGGATTCCCCCACTTTCCCTCCTCACCTGGCCACCAGAGTCATAACCCAGCTTGCAGGAGTGACATGCCCTCCTTCATCAGAGGCCACTGTCCCCCAGTGGCCACACACACACACACACACACACACACACACACACAAGCACTTTCCAAAGGGGCACATCACAAGTACTTTTCCTTGGGGGACGTTTTTCAGCATCTAAAGAGATACACCTCAGGCTTGGGAATGGACCTCAGAGTCTAAGACAGATATATAGAAAGCAGATAGCCCTGCCCATTTGGTGCCAGCACCTGAATCAACTAGCCAATGACTTCCAGGCCTCCCTGAGCATGAACCGTAGTAATACCTTTGGCACCACACATCTCTCCACACATCATGACTCACAACCACCCCAACACACTCAATATGTGTATATCCATTCCTTGTATAAATGCCAGCCATGACCCACTCTGTTGATTTACCCACCCATAGCTTTCTATCTTCAGGATGACACACACTAGAGAAACAAGGGCCTGGGGCTGAGGACACGCTTCCCTAGTCTTCCTCTCTACCCACTTAGACCAACTGAAGAGAGACAGGGACATATTTGTGGGGAGGTTCTGGGTTCAAAGAAAAAATCCGTAAAACCTGTGACCTCTCCAGGATACAGCCATCCTCTATATGATGTACCTCTGGCCACCGCAAGGTTTTAGGATTTGTTCATTGGTAATCTGCTGCCCTCTGGGTGGGCACAGCAGAACCCTGACTCACCCACTCCTAAAACTACTTCATCACAACCAGGGCTCAAATGCCTAAGCTCCTGCCTCTCTCAGTTCTATGAAATGCAGTGTCAGCAGAGGTGGGGCCTTCTGGAGGCCAGTGGTGGCCAGCACAAGGTCACTTGTACTTTCTTAAGCGGTACCTTCAGGACACAAACACGATGGCTCTTGCCCTCCTTTCAACATCGCCTGGGCAAAGCTACCACAAACATGTTTCAGGGATTTTAGGGATTCCCAGAGGGGACCTGCACCCCAGCCTCACCCACAGCTCCACCTCCCGCCTGAAGCTCAGCACTAACACAGGATCTTCATGTCCAGACACTCGTCAGTGTGTCCTCCTCACCTCTGAGGCTGCTTGAACCAAAAGACACAGGAAAACAGACGTTGCAAACCTACACCAGAGAGCGAGTGGGAACAAATGTCCTAAGTTCCAGCAAGGTAATTTGGGTGAGCATCAATGGGAACAAGCTTCCTGGGAGCCAAGAGAAAAAGAGGGATGTAATGGCAGTCCCTGTCTAAGTATGCATCAGGTGACTCATAGGACAGGTGCTTAGCTGGACTTGGTGACTCACACCTGCACTTCTACATAGTGCAGAAGGCTAAAGCAGGAAGATTGACATGAGTTTAGGACCAACCTGCCAATAGCTTGTCTCAAAACACCAAAAGGGAAGAGAAGGGTAGTTCTTGGTCAAATGAATTTGGTAGAAGGCTGCACACATCACCCACTGTTGGAAATCCATGAAATTCTTAATGTAGTAAAGGTTCTAAGAGGTCCTGCAGCAAAAACACTGTTTATTTTTAGGTAAGTCAGTGCCACTCAAACTCAGGCCACTCCAGATTCTGTTTGCCTGACACTTCTTCACACCCCAGATTCCACAGTGCACTTTGGGACTTGCTCAGCAATCATAATATCACTGATAGAGAGATAGATCTCATCTTTCCCTCCTGCCCCCCACTATATTGTAAAGGAAGGATAGGTTCAGTTGGTAGAATACTTGTCTAGCATGCACAGAGCCCAGTGTTTGCCCCCCCCCACCCCGCACCCCCGAACTGCAAAAAGGTTGCAGCACATGCCTATAATCCCAGCACTTGAGAAGTGAAGACAGGATGATCAGGAGTTCAAGATCATCCTTGGCTACATAGCAAGTTTGAGGCCAACCTGGGGTATATAAGATCCTCAGTGAATGAATGAATAAACAAGTAAATTAAGCTTAAATAATCTGTAATCCATCTTTAACTGACAGCTGTAGAGATATGAAACACCCAAGCAAAGCTCATTATGTACCAAGTCAAAAAAGGCTCAGAGCAGCACACTGGTCCAAAACCAGGCAGTGAGTTGGTAGCACAGTGGAGCCTGAGACCCAGGCTAATGGCTGCATAGATAAAGCATGTGTCCTCACTTATCCTATTGGACACTGCCTGGCACTGGTCACCATCTTCAGAAAAAGTTCAGCCATACAAATACAAATATTCTCACACATCTATACACATATACACACACACTCACATCCATGCATACACTCACATGCATTCATACACACACATAAACACATAAACACGCACACTCACATCTATACATATACATGTCCACACACTTGTGTATGCACACACACACACACACACACACACAGGACCCTGGATCCTCTGCTTCTGACTAGAGGAAAGTGCTAATCCTGGAGTTGAGTCACTTTAATGCTGGAAATTTACATCACATCTGGACAAACTAGAAGAGTCACACCCCTTGTATCCCAGCTGCA